TCATCAGTTTTGCATTCAACAAATCATACACCTTGTTTCATTACAATTATTATAATCCCCTCCATGTACCATCAGTTTACACTATTTCTCTCTATCCACTTTAGCTTTTTTTCCTTCAATGTTTTATTGTGAATTATGTGATAGTTACATGGGAGAACATTAGCTTTACATTCATCCTATCGTATATCGTTTCATTGCCATGATTAAAGTCCCCTCCATGCATCATCAACCAACCAAAGGGTATATATACCCTGCAAGCCTGTCCCCCGGTCATCATCACACAGCCCCTCTCCCTTTCTGTGTCTAAAGTCCCCAGCCACTCTCTCTCTCCACGTCATCTTCTCTGCTTCCATATCTGGTGTCACTGCTTCTCTGGGTAGGGTCCCACTCTCTGCTTTTCTACCTTGATGGTCCCAGGGACTTCTGCTCCTAGACTGAAAAGTCAATCACTCCCCTTTTTGCTACAAAACATATACCTTTACATTTCCAACCCTCACAATCAGTCCTGATAACAATCATTCACTATTGCATCACAAGAGACCTATCCACATCTCCTTTCATCAGCCCTGCTCAGACAATTGTATACTACTCAGTGGAGATTCTACCTTCCTCTGAGCCCTCTGGATCTAGACTCCCTCTTGAAAGCTTGTAAGCCAGTCACTTCTTGCCTTTGAAGTCCCCCCGCCCCATTTTGGGTAGCTAATGTCCAAGTTGCCCATCCCTGTCTACTCTGTATATGGAGGGGGTGGGAATGATCCTCGATGTAAAGATTTGTTCCCTCTTTTGAGCTACTGCATTCATAGGTGTAGGTCAAGTTCTTCAAATTGTATCAGATTATTCTTTTTTTTTCCGTTTCTTTCTTCTTCTAGTTAAGCTCTGATCATCCAGTCATTAAAGCCAGATCAAGTGGGCATTATCTACAAGTGTGGGTGTTCTTATGCATATGCGCTATCTTCTTATCAGCTGGATGCTTCACTCTCCTCTCTAGTTCTCTGTGGCTTTCACTGACTCTGGGTCTCCAGGTCTTGCCACACTGCTGGTCAACCAGGTCTCCACCCTGGTTCATAGGAGTCTATTGAACTTTGTAGGGTTTAGCTCTCAGATTCATTGCTGTATTCCCATTGAGTCTAAGTCTTGGAAAGGGGTTTGCCCTGAGGGGACCCTACCACTTTCCTTGATGTGGAAAACAACATATTTTGGGCTGTCGTTCATTTTGAAGACAAACAAAACTGTACATTGTATATATTTTTTCTAAATAGATAATATTTATTTTTGTTTTTTTCCTTTCTTGGGTTTTGCTGTTTTTATTTGTTTGTGATGGATGTTAGTCCTGAATTATAGAGACCCTATAGGACTGACTGAGCTCTGGTAGCGTAGTGGTTACGAATCGGGCTGCGAACCTTAAGGTCAGCGGTTCGAAACTACCAGCCGCTCCGCGGGAGAAAGATGAGGCTTTCTACTCCCGTAAAGATTTACACCCTCGGAAACCCTGTACAGGGTCGCTATGGGTCGGACCCGACTCGATGGCACTTAACAACAACAACAACATAGGACTGACTAGACTACTCCATAGGTTTTCTGAGACTGTCTGATCTTCCTACTATGAAGCAGTTAGTTTTGCAAACTGCTGACTTTTTGTTAGCAGTCCCATGCTTAATCCACTGTACCCCCAGAGCTTCTTAAAGAAGAGAAAGTCATGCACACACATACACGGTGGCTCTGAAGGATAATCACTGGAGTGTGAACTACAATGTCAGAAGTTCGAATCACTCTATGGGCAAAAGATGAGACTTTGCTCCCACAAAGAATTGTTGTTGTTGTTAGGTGCCCACGAGTCAGCACTGACTCATAGCGACCTTATGCACAGCAGAACGAAACAATGTCCGATCCTGGGCCAACCTCACTACTGTTGCCACACTTGACGCCATCTATGCTGCCACCTGGCCAATCTATCTCGTTGGGGGTCTTCCTCTTTTTCTCTCACCCTCCATCTAACCAAACATGATATCCTTCTCCAGTGACTGTTCCCTCCTGACAATATGTCCAAAGTATGAGAGATGAAGTTTGGCCATCTTGGCTTCTAAGGAGTACTCTGGCTGCACTTCTTCCAAAACAGATCTATTGGTTCTTTGGCAGTCCATGGCACTTTTAGTATTCTCCTCCAACACCACAACTCAAAGGCATCAATTCTTCTACGATCTTCCTTATTCACTGTCCAGCTTTTGCATGCATATGAGGTTATTGAAAATACCATGGCTTGGGTCAGGCGCACCTTAGCCCTTAAGCTGACATCTTTGGTCTTCAATACTTAAAAAAGTTCCTATGCAGCAGATTTGCCTAATGCAATATGTCATCTGACCTCTTGACTGCTGCTTTGGTGAGTGTTGATAGTTGATCCAAGAAGAATGAAGTCCTTGACAACTTTAATCTTTTCTTCATTGATAAGAATGTTGTTTATTGGTCCAGTGGTGAGGATTTTTGTTTTCTTGACATTGAGATGTAATCCATACAGAAGGCTGTGCTCTTTGATTTTCGTCAGTAAATGTTTTAAGTCCTCTTCACTTTCAGCAGGCAAGGTTGTATCATTTCCATATCACAGGTTGTTAATGAGTCTTCCTCCAATCCTAATGCCAGGTTTTCTTCATAGGACCCAGCTTCTCGTATTATTTGCTCAGCATACAGATTGAATAAGTATGGTGAATGAATATAAGCTTGTTGCATACTTTTCTTAATTTTAAAACATTCAGTGTTCCCATGTTCTGTTCAAACAACTGCTTCTTGGTCCAGGTACAGATTCCACATGAGTACAATTAAGTGTTCTGGAATACTCATACTTTGCAATATTTTCCATAAAGAATTATAGCCTCTGAAACCCTATACAGGTCGCTATGAGTCAGTACTGACTCCATGGCACTTAACAGCAATATATACGTATATGTGTGTTGGTGGCACATATTGTTTGCATTTGACTACTAACAAAAAAATTGGTGATTCTAAGCCACCCAGTGGGACCCTGGAGAATGGTCTGGTGATTTGCTTTTGTAATAAGTACAGCCTTGAAAACCCTGTGAAGCTCAGTTCTACTCTGTAACATGTGAGTTGCCCTGAGTCAGAATTGACTACTGAGTAATGGGTTTGTTTTGGTGATATATGTATAGAGTATTCCTGGTGTGGCCCTGTAGGATCAGCACTGGACTGTAAACCACAGGGTCAGCAGTTCAAACCCACCAGCGGCTCCTCAGAAACCCTATGTAGGGTCACTATGAGTTGGAACCAACTTGACTCAACAGCACTTAACAACATGTATACACATATATTGAGAGAGAATCCTGGTGTAGCACTGCAGGATTATGCACTTGATGGAAAGGTCACTTTGAAACACAAGGTCTGCAGTTCAAACTCACCATCTGCTCCTCAGAAACCTTATACAGGGTCACTATCAGTTGGAACTCAATGGCCCTTAACAACAACAGTATACACACACACACACACACACACACACACACATATATATATACATGATAAGCACTGAAATGTAAACCATAAGTCCATGGTTTGAGCCACCAGCCTCTTTATGGGAGAAAGATGAGAGTCTTTGCTCCACAAAGACTTTAAAAAGCCGCTGAACCCCTATACAGGGTGTCTATGAATTGGAACCTACTTAAAGTTGTTAACAACAACAACTATATATATTGTTATTGTTGTTGTTACATGCTGTTGAGTCAGTTCTGACTCATAACACCCCTGTATGAGATAGGTTTTAAAGGCTAACTTTACGATATGCAGTCCAGTGCTTATCCTAAAGCATTACACTGAGACTATATATATGTATTCAAATTCATTTATTTATATTTGCAGGTTTGCTTTGGAACAATGAAAGTTCTACATGTATACTGTATTTTTTAGATGCATGTAAAGATTTGAAATCTATACACATTAGTAGAATATCATTTAATTTATGGAGATAATTAAATAAAAGTTTCTATTTCATTTTGAAGTGTATCCTTGCTGAAGAATTTACCAGAGGATAAATTAACCAAGATCATTGACTGCTTGGAAGTGGTAAGCAATTTTAAAGGAAAAATAGATTTCTTTCATTGCTATCTAGTCAGGTTATTAGCACTGCAAAAGAATATGAAAAAGATCTTCTATCACCAGTCTACAGAGGTCAAGAAACCTTTTGATATTGTAAGAACTTAAGACCAAGTCACATTGAATTTAGAATGGATTTAGGAACTCTTCTTGAAATGTATAAAAAGATACGGAATTTGCATGTGTAAAGTGAAACTTTAATATTTTTAGTACATTTTACAGAACTAACCTACTGTAGTCATTTGATCTTCTACAGTTAACACTGCAATTCCTTACAGAGTTTTCATAGCAGCTAGTAGTTAGTGGAGCATAATTAAGAAATTAGAGTAGAGACAAAGGTGTTTTTGATGACAAGCCTCTGAATCAGCCTATGAACCATTTACACTTTGGGTCATGAAATACATTTTAAACTAAAACTGCATTTAACAAGTACTTTACCTATTTTAACATCCAAGGGAAACTGTATATTGGAATGTGTTCAAAAACTCATTTTAGGCATTACCCAGATGGTTGGTTGGAGTCCAAGACTAATCAAGTCTTTTTGTGAATAATGCTTTTATGACAGGCGCCTTAGATTCTAATTATATGCATTATATGCAAACCTCTTCAGGTCTTGGAGACAAAATTTCAAAGCAATTTACCGCTCTAACTCTTTTCGGGAGTGTCAATTTTGTTGAAACCAAAATGGCTTTTACAAAACGTAAAGTAGGTGAGAAATAGTAATAAAGAACTCTCAGCTAGACTTTAAGCTTTCCAAAAAGCTGTTCACAGTGGGAGGAAAACAAAATTACACAACCACAAAAATACCCCCTGCCAACCTGATTGTTGACAGATTCATGTCTCTGTCAATTTCAACATACGATGTAAACTAATATCTGTTGAGAAAGAAGCACAGCCTATTTCTTCCTTTAGTGTAAATTACACCAGTAATGTTTCCATTTACAATTCATGGAACTCATCCAGAAGTTTATCAAGGACAGGCCATGATGACACAGTTCCTGGCCTTGTGTCCCCAGGGGTTTCAGATATGAAGTCATTTTCTAGAGGGCTGCTTGCCCTGTATCTCTTGGGATCTGCCCCAATGTAACATAACCCAATCACAGATGTTACAAATTAATAATTCATCCTAATTTTCTGTATCTTTTTTGTTTTTTTAAATTTTTAAACTGGAGAGGCTCTATATATTTTTTGTTAACTGAGGAAATCTGTTTTTAATATAATACTGATAGTTCAGATTCACTAGAGGGGAATTCCATGCTGACAGTAGATATTAAAAATTTTGTATCATTAAAAATGAATGGTAAATTAGACATGTTTATAGCAGCCACAGGCAATAGCTGTAGAATATATAGATAGGGGCTTAAACCCAGTGCTAATTAACACACAATTTGAATTTGAAAGTCTCATCTTTTAAAAAACACCTGAGAATGTCTTTATTATATCTCAACATTTGCAGACAGCAGCACAATTTATAAAGGCTCCTTTATTCATAACCTGGCAAGCAAATGTGCTTCTGTAATGTGTGAAAATTCTCAAATGCGAAAGTGATTAACAAGGGAGTAATGGGATCCATTTAGCACCAAGAAGAGCACATAACTTACCAGCAGAGATTGGACTAATGACCTGTCAGCCGGTCTTGACAACAGTCAATCACTAATGCATGGGCGCTATGACTGAGCACATGCCCGCTCCCACAAACTGGACCAGCTCTCCCACAAACTGCATCCATAATCTTTGAGAAAAACAGGCTGACTCTGTCATGCTGAGGAGTTGATTTGGGAGATTTTTGCTGTTGTGTTTCTGGGGTTGCAGGTAGAGGGAGTCAGAATTTCCCATCACCAAGCAGTTGATCTGATGTGTCTTTTAAGACTAGACTGTTACACTCCTAAACCAAATAGCCCTATTGGTGAAGTGTTCCAATAGCATTTTTTGCTTTAGGTAAACGCCCAGTTCTAGATACAGACTTTGCCTTTAAGCTTCTTTTTATATACTGATGGAAAAATGAGAGTGGGATTACTACCCACATGCTCACTGGTATACTTTACAAATGAACTATTGAGAATCATGCGGCATGATACAGACTCAGAATACAGTGTATCTATTAAAGATAATGAGAATGGTAATATGACTAATGCATCTGGCAGTGATGTCAAGTGTAAGGCAGGGGTGGAAGGAATCTCCATTCCCACGCAAGGAGATCAATCCAGGAAGCTTGGAGTTTGACTATGCCTTTCTGAATTACAAACAGTGTGATTGATTGTAAAGTCACTTAGCTCTTTGTTACAGAGCTCTGGCATTTGACCCTATGGCTCTCTGCCCTGTGACTCTGACATACCATTTTTCATTAAGCTGAGGTGCAGTGGGGATGGGAAGGGTGCAGTAGAGTAGTATGGAATGTCCTTTATCTGATTCAGATCACCTGTGGTGTTTGTTCAAAGGCAGATTCCCAGGCCCCACCCTATGCTAACTGAATGAGAAACTGGGTTGTTGTTGTTGTTGTGAAGTGCCATCGAGTAGGTTCCAACCCATAGCGACCCTGTATAGGGTTTCCGAAGAGCAGCTGGTGAGCTTGAACCACTAACCTTGCAGTCTGGCGCATTAATCCACAGCGCCACACCAGGACTCCAAAAAAACTGGGCTAGGGGCTCATAAATTCACATTATGAAATTTTAACTATGCAGTTCATATGCTCATTAATGTCTGACAGATCAAACTCCCAAAATAAATCCTTACCATCAAATCAATGCCACATTGTTCTCTCAAGAAGCAGCTGATGGGTTTGAACTGTAAACCTTTCAGCTATCAGTTGAGCATTTAAGCACTAGCTACGAAGTCTAAAGTCTGACAGCCCCTGCAAAATTATGAATAGAATACATATATTCAGAGTTTGTCACAGTCTGCCTCTTCATGTGGGATGTTACCATTTTTAATCAGTTTACAAATGACTTGTCTTCATTTCTGGTTCCTACTGTCACTTTTATAAGCCACTGTTTTCCTCATTTTAACTATTATATGCACAGTCATGAAAAAGTTGAGATAATTGTTAATTTTGCCACAGTTTATGGACCAGTTACAGTAGGCCTGCCAGATGTTGTATGAAATTACTACTCCAAAGTCTAAAGATTAAAGCTCTGTCACTAACAACTTCCACTTAAATGTGTCTCATTTACAAGATAAAAAGGGGTGGATATTATAGGGAGCTACATCAATATAGACTGTTTCAATGTTTATATTGTAGAATTCTACACACCTGACTCAAGGGAGAAAGATGAGGCTTTCTGCTCCCGCAAAGATTTATAGTCTCTTATGAAAGATCTAAAAGGAGCTCTGGTAGCGTAGTGGTTGCAAGTCACGCTGCAAAACTTAAGGTCAGCAGTTCAAAACTACCAGCTGCTCTGTGGGAGAACGATGAGGCTTTCTGCTCCCGTAAAGATTTACAGCCTTGGAACCCCTGTACAGGGTCGCTATGAGTCTGAACCGACTCCACGGCACATAACCAACAAACCTCATTCAGCAAGGAGCTCTGGTAGTGTGGTGGTTACAAACCGGGCAGCTAACCTTAAGGTCAGCAGTTTGAAACTACCCCAGCCGCTGCACAGGAGAAAGATGAGGCTTTCTGCTCCCGTAAAGATTTACAGCCTCAGAAACTCTGTACAGGGTTGCTATGGGTCAGAACCGACTCTACGGCACTTAACAACAACAACATGTAAGATCTGGTTCCTTGGAAATAAAAATCACGCCAGTTCTAAATTATGTCTGAATAGTTGATAGGATACACCTGATCCAAGTGTGTTGCTTAAAATTATATTTTTTAAAAAAACATTTGACTTTAGATCCAGAGAGGGAGAGCAACTGTGTGCTGAAGACCTGGGGGGTACAGGGGAAGGATTGCAGGGTATTCCCTTTGGTTGGTTGATGATGCATGGAGGGGATTGTAACCATGGGAATGAGATGATATATGATAGAATGAATGTAAAACTAATGTTCTCCCATGTAAACTATCACATAATTCACAATAAAACATTTAAGGAAAAACAAAAACAAAACCAAAACCTTTGAACATTACAACATTTAAACTTGATAGTTTGGAAAACAAAAACTAACTGGTACAAACCAAAATAACTATAAACATTTTTTAAAGCAATAAAACTAGGAACACAATCACATGATACATAGAAATGTGTGTGTGTGGTGTATATCATTAATGCTATGTCATCCATACTGCTAGCTATATATTAAAGACTATGGAAATCTTAGCCTTGGTTTTTGTTTTGTTTTTCCCTCCTTACCTTCAAAACCTCCTTGGATTTTCTTCTGGTCTTATATATTCTATTCTCAGGAAATTGAGTTCTCTCGCATTTTGGTCTGTATCTGATTGTCGTAAAATGAACATTTCCTTTATAAAACACTTCCATCTTTCTTGTTTGTTTCCCAGTTGTATCATTTTCTTCTGACCTCTACCTCTCAGTCTACTTTAGTATTGGCTTTCTTCTTTTTTTCTTCCAGTCCAACATTAAGTGACTACTCTTAGTGGTTCTATATATCTTTTAAAATGGCTTTCTCAGACTTGGATCATAACTCTATGAAATCAAGCTGTTTTTGTTGTTGTTAGGTGCCATCAAGTCGGTACCAACCCATAGTGACCTTATGCACAACAGAACGAAACACTGCCCGATCCTGGGCCAGCCTCCCATTTGTTGCCACACTTGAGTCCATTGATGCTGCTACTTGCCTAATCCATCTCGTTAGGGGTCTTCCTCTTTTTCTCTGACCCTCCACCTTACCAAACATGATATCCTTCTCCAGTGACTGGTCCTTCCTGATGATATGTTTGAAATAGGAGAGACGAAGTTTGGCCATATTGGCCTCTAAGGAGCACTCTGGATGCACTTCTTCCAAAACAGATCTGTTGGTTCTTTTGGCAGCTCATGGCACTTTCAATATTCTCCTCCAACACCATAACTCAAAAG